CAGACAGGTAAAAAATTTTAAATTCACTTTCGTGAGAGGGTTTGAAGTGATCTAAAACCCAGTGAAAACTCCTGATGCTACAGCGAGCAAGCACTGCCAAGCGTCTGAAACCACGTAAAACACACATGCAGCAGGCTTATAAATGCAAACATACATGCAACACAGATACAAAAAATTCAGAAGCTAATAGCAGAACTGTGCTAGTACAGGCAGGCGCTAGCAGGGCCACCCACCAGAGCCCTGGTCCATACTCTCCACAAGACCTGGGGAAGACTTCTAGAAACCCCTGCAGACCAGACAAGGCGGAGTTTGAGAACCACTGGTCTCTGGCTTAAGTGACTCCCAACTATGATGTTCTGGAGGGCGGTCCCCACACATTTAAGAGTAAATCCTCACACTTATATTTATTGTAAAATAAGATATATAGATACACTACGTACCAATATATTGCATAATTATAAAATATATAAAAAGAAAAAAATTTAAGTAGAAAATAAAAACAAAAGAAAAATATTCTTAAATATTTTATATTGATACAATATAGTGATACAATAATCTTTGGGGCTCTCATTAGTAAAAGCAATGAGACTAAAAATACTATATTATGTAGTAAATACTCTGTTTTACATTTAGGAACAAAACTGATCCTAAATGATTCACTCTGATACTCATTTAATTGTGTAACAAGTGAAAAAGATACCTCACAAAGTCACACTGATCCAGGGACTTCTCTGGCAGTCCAGTGGTTAGGACCCGGTGCTTCTACTGCAGGGGGCTCAGGTTTGATCCTTGGTCGAGGAACTAAGATTCTACATGCCTCAGCCCAGCCAAAATATTTTCTTTTTAAGTTACACTGATCCAAGAACTGTGTCATCAGCTGCACTTACTAAATCATCCACTAGTAATTTTTAAAAATTTCTTCTGATTATGGAAAGGTCTTTGCTAAAATTCAGATGATAAATTCCCGTCATCCCTGACATCAAACACTTGTTCATTAAGACTAATCAGAAAGTGTATTTTTAACAAAGAGGTTTTTAAACACCCATTGAAAGTCAGCTAGTTTTCTGCTCCTTGTTAAATACCACCTTTCCTTTGAAGATCCAAGTAATTATGGACAGGCCATCACAGAAGAGGGTCAGCAAAACCAGGACGCTTTTATTCTAGTGACAGCAAAATGTATACTTTTGCATGAAGTAGCTGGTATCCCTCTCCGGTGGTTTAAAAGATTTTCATCATCATTCCTCATCTTGTTACAGAGTATTGCAAAGATTCTACTGCTTGAGAGACTTGCTTCATCACAGTAACCACACGAGGGTTACCTGGCTCTGAGCCACGCCCTGCAGGACAGGACCACCTGTGCAACGCTGGCTGCTGCTCCACACCAACAGCTGAGGCTGCAGACTCGCAAGAGCCCAAACAGCGCACTCAGCACCCCCACAGCGGCAGCTCAGGTCCTGTGCACCGGGGGAACCGCGGGAGCCCTGCAGAAGGTTCTGCATGAGAAAGACACGCAGCAAAACGCTACCACGTGAACCAGCAGCTCAGCTTCCACACGGGACACTGAGCATCTGTCGACGACAGCGCATCTTTGCAAAGAAGCGACAAACAGCGAGGACGTGCAAGAGGAGAGGCCACGGGGATCTGAGAAGTGCCTGGTGCCCATCAGGTCCCCCCTGACGTTTCAGAATGCAATACAAATATTCAGTCTCTCAATGTACATGACTGCTTTTTCACACAGCGACTAGGTTGTTAGCAGAGAAATGCTTACCGAGATGTCTGGACCTGCCTCCTTAACAAGTGAACTGTTAGGTGTCCCAAGGGGAACCAGGAGACAGTCGCTGAGGCTCTCAGGGGTGTGGGAGGCGGCTGTCCCACGGTGATGGGGGTAGAGTTGGGGAAAAGCAGGCCTGGGACCAGAAGAGCTGGACTCCAGCTCCAGCTCTGCCTTCAATGCCCAAACGCCCTCCAAACTGCCTGTTGGCAAATCACACAGGAGGAAACAGGGTGCCCTCAGTTACAAGGTCCTGCAAGGGAGCTTGTCCTAAAGGTTGGGCTCTCTCCCCCAGGCAGGACACGCCCACCCCGCCCTGGAGAAATCCACAGCTTTCTCAGTTAAGGCCACCTGCCCAAGCCAGGTAACGAAAGGAGAAACCAGGTTCCCATCATCACCAGAGGCTGAAAGGACCGACAATGAGGTGTCTGCCTCATCTGACCAAAGCAGCAGGGTGAACTCACGCCCGGCCCTCCACGTCAGCATCCACAGGGACAGCAGGGAGGGTCCATCAGGCAAGTGGCCATTCAACGTCCTTTTCATGCTTTCTGCAGCACTCACTATTTGTGCCCCATTTACAATACCATCCTGTCTCTGAAAAGTATTCTGGTCACTAAATATTTGGTTAAATGCTCCAAGGCAACCATGTGGGAATCCTTTGGGAAACTGCAGAGTCCATCCCAATGAGGAAGTGCTAAACGGCTTCAGTCGTGTCTGCCTCTTTGTGACCCCACAGACTGCAGGCTCCTCCGTCCATGGGATTCTCCAGACAAGAACACTGGAGTGGGTGGCCATGCCCTCCTCCAGGGGATCTTCCAACCCAGGGATCGAACCTGAGTCTCTAACGTCTCCTGCACTGGCAGGTGGGTTCTTTACCACTAGCACCACCGGAAAAGCCCCCCAGTGAGCAAAGCTGGTATCAAATGATGATCTGTTTAAGGTAGAGAATACTTATGCCAACAGGAGGTATCCTGGACAATCAGCATCTCAGCGGCGTCAGGCGCCTTTCCAGCACGGTCCAGGACACCAGAGGGGCCCAGTTGTCCCAGGGAGGAACCTGCTCTCCCTTTCTTTCTGCTTGGTGAAAACGGACACACAAACCCTAAGTTCAACAGGCAGAAACAACAGAGTCTCTTACTAAGGTAACAAACAACACCAGGAACGTGAAACTTCCCATTTCCCATTAGGTTTCTCCATCTGAGCTAACACGAATCAGCTGATTCACTTGTCTGCCCACTATTCTTGCTTTTTGGGTGATCAATCACCACAGGGTTCAAGCTCAAAGTGGTATTAAGATTCTGGAAACAAACAGTATATAAGAGACTATAATATTAAGTTTGATTAGGTCTAAACTAAAAAAACTGCCCTTACTGTTGACAGCAACTGCAGATGCACAAGAAATCCTGAACACTGACAAAAACCGGTATAAACAGAAAAGGAGGCATAAAAAATACTGTAAACTATCCTAAAAGGATTATCAAGTAGCATTTTCCATGAAAACAGTACAGTGAGGGGTGTGAGCAACACTCTGGTTATAAATAAGAACGTGCTTTCTTATTTCTTTCAAAAGAAAGAAATTTCTTTCATCTTCTTTCAAAGCATGAAACCTGTTTAAAAAGGCACAAACGAGGGGATGGATGAAGAGGCCGCCTGGCCAGTGGGAGAGTGGAGGAGGGACTCAGAGAATTAGACTCCAGAGACCCTGAGGCAGGAGGCGGGCAAGGTCAATATTTATGTGGCTGGTGCATTAATTAGAAATACATGAACCCTGACACAGCAGGAGTGCAGGGCATGATTACTGACTGAAAGTAGCTCAGTCGTGTCTGACTCTTTGCGACCCCATGGACTCTACAATCCATGGAATTTTCCAGGCCAGAAATCTGGAGTGGGTAGCCTTTCCCTTCTCCAGGGGATCTTCCCAACCCAGGGATCGAACCGGGTTCTCCTGCATCACAAGTGGATTCTTTACCAGCTGAGCTATCAGGGAAGCCCATCTTAGCATGTATTAAATCAGATGATTGCTGGAACACTTTTCAAATATTAACAAAAATACAAAAAAAAAAGTTTCCACAAAAACATCATAATGACTGCTTTCGTCACCGCAAAACACCACTATTTCCTCCACAAAGGGTACCATGAACTCAGGGTGCTGGGACCTTCCTGTGTCATCCTGTCCTGGAGCTAAAAGGGTGGAGTTCTTAATCAGCACATATGCTGGCTCAGGGTCCAAACATCCGCATGAACTGCAGAGAAACCCGGGCCTGCAGCAGAAACGGGGCAGCCAGCCATGCCCCTCTCGCAAGGAGGGGACACGGCGGACTGCAGACACCGGGGAAAACAACCTGTGCAGGAGAGACCCAGATACACTGCAGTTCCCAAAGAGCGAGCTCCGGTTTCATCTCAGAACTTAGGCAGGACAGGTAAGCATCAGAGAAATCCTTTATGACCACAGGACACGCTGGCCCACCAACGCTGGCTGGCCATGGTGGGCTTTCAAGTGGTCAAGCATGAGCCACCAGCCTGCTTCAAGCCTGAAGGGATGGAGAGAAGACCTGCTAAGATAATTCCATCCATCAGTTCATCCGTGGGAATGTGCAAGAGAACAGATTCACCAGCATACAGTTCCCTCAAAGGAGCCTACATCTCTTGCCACGGCCGTGCTCCCCGACCTCGGGAGCCAGCATGGGGACTGGGCCGGGCCAGTCCCCTGCCCGCCCTGCTCCTTCCCCTCCCAAAACAGCCTCACCACGCCTCGCCCCTCCCCATTCCAAGCCTGCTCTCCAGACCCACCACCCTCACTCCCTGTCCCCAGATCCACGGTGCACAACCTGTCAGATAAAGCTGCTGTATAAGGTAGATGCTGTATGTTTTCAATGAAATTACTAGGAGCGGTCATTCCTAACTATTTAATATCCACCTATACGACACATGCTACTTCGCTTCAATTAACTACTCTAGAATCCATCCACTTAGAGAAACACTCCAAACAAATTAGGTTCTTCACTAGTAACAAGTAGCAGCATCCTTTTTAATTATTAAAATTCAGGGGCAACTGGATGCAAAACACACAGAAGCTGGTTGTGATCTTTCCTGAGGGGGAAACCGAAGACTGGATGAACAGCTTTCTGAGTAGATGTGAAACCAGAGCCAAAACAGGGAAGGAGGTGGGGTTGATACAAACGCCCATTCACCCTGATATACGCAAACTTCACATAAAAACTTAACTTACTTGCCAATATTTTCAGGCAGAGACTGCAGGGAGATGTCATTTACAGAAAGACATGTCAAATTCTGTAATTCAGGAAAGCTTTCTGGCAATCTAAAAAAACAACAGAAAATGTTATAATTGATAAAGAGAAGTGCATATATGGTGTATAGTGAACATAATTATAATGATTTCTTCTATTTGCTGATTGAAATAACCTCCTAAAATTATATTATATGTGGCATTTTTGTCTTGTCTGTCTAACTATAAGGAAAAAACATAAGGCCTTGGTCGCCCTAGCAGTACAGGAACACGGTAGATGTGTTGACAGAGCGACCCAGACATGAAGAGGGAAGACGTGCGGACTGTGAGAATGAAGAAGTGTCATGAGCCTACTGAGCACTCTATGAAAGAAAGTGATAAGTACTTCCTGAAGCTGAAAGTGCCTAAGAGTGAAAATACTTTATTGCTTAACAGAAAACAGACGGAAATTTTAGCCCACAAGATTATCATAAAACATAAGACAGCTGCTTGATTTTTTTTTCTGTAGTTTATCATACCCAGAACAAAGCCACAGAGTACCTACAACTGATCAGCTGACAGCCAATTGCTACTTTCTTCATATTTTTCTTTCCATTTGATCTAAGATGCCAATCATGTGGGATGATTATATGTTTCACAACATTCTACACAAAAAAGAAATTCTGTATACTTCTCTTAGACTCTACTGAAAAAAGAATATTCAAAATAAAATTATTATTTAAATAAAGGAAATTTACTTTCACTATTTCTATGGTTACCAGTATCTGGGGCTTAAAAAACACCAACTGAAGGCAAAAAGATCTCATTGCATCTAAAATGTGGAAGGTCCTCATACATAAATCTGCTAAGATGGAGAAGAGAACACATAACACATTTTTTTGCAGGGGGTAGTGAGGGCTTCTTGCCTTAGTGATAGCCTCTAAATTAGAGTCTTTCATTTCTTTCCTCTTTCTAGGTTCCTTTTTTAAAAAACAAATCCTATGCTGTATAACATTTAATATAGAGAATTCTATGAGAGTATTGATGAGGGCTTTCATAATCGATGAAATACATTCTCAGGAATGGTTTTTACAAACTTGCAAACTCTTCCACTGTGGAAAATTCTTAAAGAGATGGGAATACCACACCACCTTACCTGCCTCCTGAGAAATCTGTATGCAGGTCAAGAAGCAATAGTCAGAACCGGACATGGAATAATCGACTGGTTCAAAATTGGGAAGGGAGTATGTCAAGGCTATATATTGTCACCCTGCTTATTTAACTTATATGTAAAGTACATCATGCAAAATGCCAAACTGGATGAATCACAAGCTGGAATCAATATTGCTGGGAGAAATATCAATAACCTCAGATATGCAGATGATACTACCCTTATGGCAGAAAGTGAAGAAGAACTAAAGAGCCTCTTGATGAAAGTGAAAGAGAAGAGTGAAAAGCTGGTTTAAAACTCAACATTCAGAAAATGAAGATCATGGCATCTGGTTCCATCACTTCAGGGCAAATAGATGGGGGAACAATGGAAGCAGTGACAGACTATTTTCTTGGGCTCCAAAATCACTGCAGATGGTGACTGCAGCCATGAAATTAAAAGATGCTTACTCCTTGGAAGAAAAACTATGACAAAGCTAGATGGTATATGAAAAAGCAGAGACATTACTTTGCCAACAAAGGTTCATTTAGTCAAAGCTATAGTTTTTCCAGTAGTCATGTATGGATGTGAGAGTTGGACCATAAAGAAAGCTGAAAGCCGAAGATTTGATGCTTTTGAACTGTGGTATTGGAGAAGACTCTTGAGAGTCCCTTGGACAGCCAGGAGATCAAAGGAGTCCATCCTAAAGGAAATCAGTCCTGAATATTCATTGGAAGGACTGATGCTGAAGCTGAAACTCCAATACTTTGGCCACCTGATGTGAAGAACTGACTCATTGAAAAAGACCCTGATTCTGGGAAAGATTAAAAGCAGGAGGAGAAGGGGACAAGAGAGGATGAGATGGTTGGATGGCATCACCGACTCAATGAACATGAATTTGAGCAAGGTATGCGAGTTGGTGATGGACAGGGAGGCCTGGCATGCTGCAATCCATGGGGTCAGAAAGAGTCGGACATGATTGAGTGACTGAACAACAATAACCTCTTCCATGGTGTAACAGAGGTTAAGTTATTTTTTTTTTTCATCTATAGCTCAAAAGATGCAACTTATCTGTTCTGAATTTTTGCCAGAAACTATATATATATGATAACAATTTTAAAAGTAACTTATATGATCTTAAATGTAAGGAAAATGTATTTTTAAGTGGCTGATTTTTTTTTACTGGTTGTTAACATTAAGAGCCAAGCTAGGGATATGATGTAGTAGGATGAGAAAGGCCAGACTTACGGTGGGGAGAGAGGAAAGCTAGTCTGAGCTGTCGCTCAGCAGCTATGTGATCCTAAATGGCTGTCCCATCTCTTGGAGCCTCAGCTGCTTCAATAATAAAATCCGTAGGCCAAGCTGAATAATTTTTAAGGTCCCTTCAACTCACAGATTCTTAACTCATAATTCTTGAAAGAACACGCCTGCCAAATTAAAATGGCTTTCCTTCAAGAAACCTGCCAAATAGGAGGCCAGGCTGAAAACTCAGTAAGACCTCATATGATGCAATGTGTTCTGATCCAGAGTTTTGAGATGATGGTAAAGTCACATGTCGGTAGACAATAGGGAAAAAAAAAAAAAAGAAACGGAAAAGGGGATTAAGCAACTGAAGAGTTAACAGAAACCTTGAGGGAGTACAGTGAGCATTTCTCAGCTGCCTTGAGCACAAGCAACTCAGTTTGGTTCCGCAAACACTAGTTGAGGGCCTGCTCCTTTCCAGAGAGGACAGCCGGGCAGCAGACACCACCTGAGTGACAGAGGAAGACAGTGCAGCCCAGGAGCCCGGGTCGGAGGGCTCACTCACACGCAGACTTCCAGTGCTATGAGAAAAGTGCGCAGAGAGCATCACAGCGCCTGAGGGGGGCCGTGGGAGCCAGCAGGAAAGGGTCCTGCAGAAACGTGATGCGTGGGCTGCATCTGAAAGGCGAGTGAAGGGACTGGCACAGTCAGCAGAGGGGGAGGGAACTCGAGGACAGAGCCCTTCTCACAGTGACACCAGGCCAGAGGAGGCAACTGAGGGCCGTGAAGGCCGCAAGGCGGGCCGAGGCCAGACAGAGGGTGGAGGAGGCTCGCAGCACGGCGAAAGCTCCCACCTGACCTCCCAGGGACGGGAGCTATGGAAACGCCTGAGGAAGAGGGCCAGCCACACAGACAAGGGTGGTCAGGACAGAGGACGAGACATACGACGGGGGTGAGTCAGAAAGCGATCGGGCTGGAGCTTACTAGAGCACTATTTTCCACAAAAATAAACACTATTAGTAACATAAAACTGAAATGCAAAGGAGAAAAAACAGAATTATTTTTAAAGACATATTTACTTCTTAAAAGTAAGCAGGTATTAGGAAAAACAAAGTGAAATAGGGCATTCCCCAGCACTCCATACTCAAGAGACCCAGGCAATTTTGAGACAGATGACTCCCAAGTTTTAACTTAATCCCAGTTTTTCTAGACACTTTAAAAACAAACAGAAGGAATGGAAAGGAAGAGTACCTTTCTTTCTTCTGAGGTTGCTTAGAGTCTGGAGAAATCTTAGAAATGGGCCCGCGTGGCCCAGAGACACCCCTGGGACAGACTCGAGAGAGCTGTCCCCGCACTGCTGTGTGGGCAGCAACTCAGTCACCCTGGCATCACAGGCGCCTGGAATCCACCCGTCGCTGGGCTCTCGACTGAGCCAGAAGGCACAGGAGGGAAAAGGGACCTTTAGTACAATGGCCAGAAAAGCAAGCAGAAAGGTTACCTAGTCAGTGGGTTTCCGCTGAAGTCAGCGATCTGTAGTGCTTTACAGAATGAGATGCTCTCTGGAATTTCAGGAATATCTGCAGAAGGAAAGAAAATGTCCATCACTGACCACCGTTGTGAGCTGTTTTTATCATCCTTGACATGGACCAGAACTATCTGCACACTACTACCTATACTCAAATGTGGCGTAGATTTCCAAAGTACTTTTTCCACATTTATATTTGCTTTCCTGATACACGATATGTTCTGAACAGAAGCATGTTCAAGCAAAACATTAAAAACAATCCCCTCCACCAAGTCCCATCACCTCATCAAAAGTCACTGCTGTCACTCCCATGGGGCTTTCCCCCTCTATGTGATATGGTTTCATCAGTACAAAGTATTCTAAAGAATGCGTTTTTTACATTCGTTTATTTTTCATTGAAGAACAACTATTATACAATGTTTTGTTGGTTTCTGCCATACACCAACATGACTCAGCCACAGTATACACACGTCCCCTCCCTCTTGAAACCCCCACCCCCACCCCATCCCACCCGTCTAGGTCGTCACAGGGCACTAGTCTGAGCTCCCGAAGTCACACTGCACATTCCCACTGGCTGTCTATCTTACACGTGATAATGTAATGTTCCCAGGCTGCTCTCTCCATGAATCCCACCCTCTCTATCTCCCACTGTGTCCACAATTCTGCTCTCTATGTCTGTCTCCCTGTTACTGCCCTACAAATGGGTTCATCAGTACCATCTTTCTAGATTCCATACATGTGAATTAACGCGCGACATTTGTTTTTCTAGGTTCTAGGTTCATCCGCCTCTTTAGAAGCGACTCAAATGCCCAACAATCCAGTACTGGGCATACACCCTGAGAAACATGATTGAAAAAGACACAGGCATCTCAGTGTTCACTGCAGCACTATTTACAACAGCCAGGATATGGAAGCACCTACATGTGCATCGACAGGCAAATGGATCAAGAAGCTGTGGTACATACAGACAATGGAACATTACTCAGCCATAAAGTATGCATTTTTAAATTACAGATTTTCTTCTGATTATGAGCATAATCTGGAAAATACAGAAAAGTCCAAAGGTTGGGGGCGGGGGGGAAACCACCAGCATTCCCATCACAGTGATGATGTTTTGTCCTGGTGCAGTTTTTATTTGTCACACGCAGACACAGAAGCGACTTGGTTCATGCTTCACTTTACGTTATTTTACAAACTTTCCCCTGTCATTATTTTTCCAAACAGTTCTCCATTCTCAGTGGCAGAAAAGCCCACTGCCTACCTCTTCATGCTCCATGTAACCAATCCCAGTTGTCGGACATTTAGGTTGTTCCCAAGGTCCTAAGGTGATAATCAGATCTCTGCTCGTTCCTGGGTATTTCCTCAGGCTGAGCTCCCGCGGGATAATCACTGTGCCAAAGGCACTAACAGCATTAGACAAACACTGTTAAACTGCCGACGAGGGGGCGAGGCACGCTCTTGTGCTTCCACTGCCAAGTCAACATCTTCCCCTCTTTTCTGCCTCTTACATTTTAAAAACTGCCTGTGTAAAACAGTTTGGTAACATTTTGTTTTCCATTCCTTTGATTACTAATGAGGCTGAATATTTTTCCCCATGTTTACCTGCCACTAAATGCTGCCAATTCTTGAAATGACCAAAATTGCTATTTTAAGTTCTTCTTGTTTAAACTCTGAGATAACAGCTTTCAAGGCTGGAAAAGGTTAGTTCACAACATTTAATTTCAAGAATACATTATTTTGGACATACTCACATTAAGAAGTGATTCCCAGGTGGCTCAGTGGTAAAGAATCTACCTGCCAATGCAGGAGACACAGGAGACGCAGGTTCAATCCCTGGGTCGGAAAGATCCCCTGAGGAAGAAATGGCAACCCACTCCAGCATTCTTGCCAGGAAAATTCCATGAGCAGAGGAGCCTGGCAAGCTACAGTCTGTGAGGTCACAAAGGCAGACACGACTGAGCCCGCAATATTAAGAAGGGCTGAAATAGAAAAGCTTCTCCCGGTCCCATGCTGTTTCTTCCAGCAGCTTGACAAAGGCAAGCAGTGCCTAAACATACCTGATATTTCTAAACTGGGGGTAAAGAGAGACGGAAGAAGTCAGGACAAGACGGATGCCCTACACTGAAGCTGCACAGTCATCAGAAGCTATGTGCAAGCTCTCAGTACAAATATTAAAGCTGAAAATATTTAAATCTGTGCTAACATTTGCCTCACACAAGTCTCTGCCTTGTTGTATAAGGTAGTAAAGAACACACATTTCAATTTAAAAAACGGGTCATATAGGTAGTAAAGAACACATTATTTATGGTCCTAGTTCATAAATACGATAGCAGTATACACACAGACACATACACACACATATATACACATACACAAACATATACAGATATATACATACATGTATGAGCACATATATACACACATATATAAGACACACACACATACATATATATGGTTTGTCCACAGTTGAGTCTGGAATGGATTTTTAAAACATACAAACATTTGTAGGCCCTGAGGCACATATACAGTGGCAAGACTCTTTATACATATTACCTTATGTAAAGTAAAGTGGAAGTTGCTCAGTCATGTCCGACTCTTTGCAACCCCATGGACTACAGCCCGCCAGGCTCCTCTGTCCATGGGATTCTCCAGGCAAAAATACTGGAGTGGGTTGCCATTTCCTTCTCCAGGGATTCTTCCAGACCCAGGGGTCGAACCTGGTTCTCCTGCACTGCAGGTAGATTCTTTACCATCTGAGCCACCAGGGAAGCCCGTGACCTCATGTAACTGCAACATAAATTACTGTAACTTCCACTGCCCAAAGTGGACGCTAAGGCTCAGAGATGAAGAACCCCCCTGTCAACGTTAGCGGTCACTTTACTAAGGGCTGAGGTCATGGCACTGTTGGGCATAAGAATGAACAAACTAGTAAATATAACAAAAAAGAGGCAGACTCAGATATAGAGGTCAAGCTAGAGGTCTCCACAGGGGAGGGATGATGGGGGAGGGGAGCAAGAGGTGCAAACTACTGGGTATAAGAAAGCTACAAGGATATGCTGTACAATATGCGGAGTATAGGCAATATTTCATAGTAACTGTAAATGGAGTATAAGCTTTAAAAACTGTGAATCACTATATTACGTACCTATAAATTATATACTTCAATTTTTTTAAAAAAGGAACAGACCAAAAACAAAAAAACAAAAAAAAAACTAAAGACAGAATGAAGGAAGGAATCCCCCTCCATTACAGGACCAGCATGGCTATTCAGGCAGCTGAGGCCACCCGGGTGAACGGGGCCGGGTGGTCCTGCACTGCCGACCGGACCTCCTCAGCCACCACGTCAGGTCCTGGGGAGCAGGTTTTTTAAGGCTGAGAAAAGACAGGCTGCACCTGTCACCTCACAAGCCCTTGGGAAGAAGGTCAAGCTGACACCCACATGTACGTCATATGGCAGCTTTCTGCTCAATCCGAGGAAAAGATCAAGGAAACAGAGAAAGAGTGAAGGCTTGTTAATTGGGTGGAAATCTTTAACACTTCAAAGAGCATCAGAAAAATCCCCGAAGCTCAGGATGATGGGTTTACCAAAGAACACATGAGTAGTGGCTGCAAGAAACTCTGGTCGGGGCTGGTCTGGAGTCAGGGACTCAAGGTAGAAGCAGCAACTGCTGGAGAGAACAGATGGACCAAGTCCAGACAGAGGTGGGTGAGGTCCGCCTCGCAGGAAGGCACGCCCTCCCTGGACAAACCTGCTCGTACGCAAAACCAGCGAATGGAACACAGGTCTCAACTCCAAAGACTGTTTCCTTCTACCTTATATGTGTTCCTAACTTGAAAGAAAAGAAGGCATTTGCCTGTAAAAATAAGAGCTTTAGACAAGGAAAGCAAGAGAGTGGTTTGAAGCGTCCTGATTACTGGTTTGCTTTAAGTTACTAAAAATATCAGAACAGAAAGCTAAAGAAAGGGAACAGCAGCTCCTCCTCAAATACCCAGCTAAAATGCCACACCCTCAAGGATACCTCCTTTGGCCCCAAGATTAGGTTGCATTCCCCTGCTCTCAGCTTCCTTGGGCTTCGGCTTCCCGAAATCTGTTACAGTTTTAATTAAATAGTTGTTTGGTGATCAATCTCCCTTACTAACTCTAAGCTCACTGGCAAGAAGGACCGTGTGGGCCTTGTCTGCGTCCCCAAAGCTGACATAGTACAATCGGCTCCCAGGTTCCACACCTGGACACTCTACCAACTGTGGACCAAGATATTAAGAAAAGAAAATTCCAGAATGGTCCAAAAGCAGAACTATTTACTCATGTGACAACTATTTGCATAGTATTGACAAGTGTTTACATTGTACTAGGTATTAGAAGTGATCTGGAGAATAAAGTATATGGGAGGATACAAAAAAATAAATAGAGTGTATGGGAGGATACGCAAGATTCTGTGCAAACACCGTGCGGTCTTATATAAGGGATTACTGCATCCCAGATGCTGACTGTATTAGGTTCAAGCAGCCCACAGTGCTGAATGTTGAAGGAGTAAATGAGAAACTCATGTTGCTAAGCCTCTGAAAAGACAGTTGCTCTCTCACCTGAGTCAGGAAACATCCCCCGGAGGGTGAGTATATCGCTGTTTTACCAGTAAGAAAACTGTTTGGTCCTAGGTCTCTCATAAGAGATAGTATAAAGCTTGCAGGTTATTCCCAGCTGAAATCCCCTTTAACTGTCTTCCCAGTGTTTTGCTCTGGATAAATGTTAGTTTTAAGACTAAACATATGAAAAAAATAGATAAAAAACCACTTCTCAGTGAGGTCAAGGTTGACCACGAACCTCATTAAAAAACTGTAATTTCAATTCCTTCCCCTGCACCCTGTCTTCCTACCACTCACACTCAGTTTCCAAATCCTTCTGTTATTCTCTAATTATTTTCCCTACGCATCTTTTCCTATCCACTCACATTACTATCAGTCCAGTTCAGGCTTCAATCCTCTAGAGGACTACACTATCCTTTTTTAATTTTTATTTTGCACTGGAGTATAGTTAACAATGTTGTGTTCGTT